GGGGGGGAGGAGGGGGGTATTTTGTCATAGCTGAAGGGTGTTCTCAAATGGTTTCAAGGAGCAGAGGAGCAAAGACAAGCATATGCAAAGGATCTAGCAAAAGCTCTTAAGCAAAGCAGACAGCAGGAAGCTGAAAATAAATACGCAAAGCCATTTGCAGCACCGAAGTTCAAATCCATCTGGATAGTGCTAAGGCTGTCACGGCAGCCCATAGAGGGGATTTTCCAATTCCTCGCAGAGAAACCCTGGAAAATAATAATGGAAAAGTAGAAGCACAGGCTCGAACTCTAAGCCAGACCTTCATCCCAACACATGACCAACTTCAACAGCACCAGGAGTGCAGGGGGAGAACAGGCATGGTCCCCACAGCCTGGCTTATCCTGGGCACTGGGAAGCCTGAGCCCGCTCCACCCCCACCTGCTTTTCCTCTGGCACAGGTGTGGATGGAGAGGTTGCAGCAGACACAGGTGCAGCCCAGGATACCTACCAGAGGGGCTGCCAGCACCAGTCACATGCCAGCCAGTCACCTCACCTCCAACACCAGCAAGAGGCACAGTCCCCAACTTAAAAGTACATGCCACAAAGCTGCACTGAGTGGAGGGAGCCGATCCATCAGCTTGCCCAGAGGTCCCATCCAAGCATCCCAGCAGCAGTCTGCCAGAGCTCCCCACCACTAGCTCCTTACAGAGGGGAAGGAGGTAGAGTAATCCTGCCTTGTTTTTCGGAGTTACACATTAGTCACACAGATTTCTGCCCAAGGGCCCCCAGGCAAGCCTTGCCTTCGATGGTTGCTGCGTGCCCCCACTGAAACCACCAACTCTCAACAGGAACAGACAAGCACAGTTCAAAAACTTATATTCGAGCCTCCTTTACACGCCTTTCACAGAAATACCCAGAGCTGCCCCTCCACTTAACACAGTTCTATTTTTTCCCTTCACCAGAAAAAAAGCCCAGTTACTCAAACTGAATTTCCACGGCATTAAAGTCAATCAGCTACACATCTCCAACTGACCCGTTCCCAGATTTTCTGGTAACTACCACACAGACCACATGCACACCCCCAAAATATCCCAAAGCATCCTTAAGAAAATCATGGACTTTGTAATAAAGCTCAAGCTTTCACCTCTGCAGAAATGCACCTTAGTTAAAAAATAAATAAACCATAACGGATCAATTCAGGTCAGTTTTTACCGAGAAGAGCTTCAGAAGTCAGCTGCAGCTTGGTGTAACCACAGAGCTCATGTGAGGCAGGACACAAGAGCCATCACGTCCATCATGTCACACATCCAACATTCAGGCTGGAGACCTTGCAGTTGCCTGCATGCCACCTCCCAGCAGCAGGGACCTGGGGCAGAGCACGGCTCCTCACCTTGCAGGGAAAAGCAGCTCATTGCACTCCCCAAGACACCAATGACCACTGATAACGGATGCAAGCAATGCCCACACCTGTTTCTAAGTAGAGACCAGCTGCCAAAGCAATCAAGCGAGCCAAGCCCTTCAGCTGCACCTCCACAGAGCTCTACTGGCCCGTGCCACAGCTCTGCTTTCCCCACCGGCTTTGCAGCACCAGCAGGAATCGCTCTGCAACACAGTTTTGCAAGCAGATGCCTGCAGCAGAAGCAGCCTCCAGTGCAC